GCTGCGGCGACCCTGAAGCCCGAAGTTGAAAGACCAAGCCGAGCAACTGAAACCCCGAAACCTTCAGCCTACCGTCAAAGCCAAACGGTTTAGGGTGTAGGGTTTAGGGTTTAGGGCTTATAGGGTTTCGGGTTTATAGGGTTTAGGGTTTAGGGGCTGCGGGCTGACGGTAGGGGAAAGCTATGCGGAAGCCCGACCCTGACACCCGACAGTCGTAATATAGGGGCCGAAGTAATTACCAAGTCTATTTTGGGGGGGTTCCTGATTATAGTTATAGTATAATATACCCCAAAACCCTAATCTTTAAGGCTTCTATATTACACCATAAGAAGCACGTAACCTCCTCTCGCTCGTCGGCTTCATTATGGCCCCTGAAGGTGGTGCCATCGGATCTTTCTTCGATTACTGCGCGGAGAATCGGGCAATCGCAAGGTGGCGCTTTGGGGTTAAAGGTAGCAAGCAGGATAGTCATATTCATAACAATAATAGCAGCTAATAGCAGTAGCAATGACATTAATCATCGATATCAATAATCACTCTAAGCCCTACAGCCCTAAGCCCTAATCGTAATGCTAGGAGGAGCCTGGGCCCGGTCCAGCTCAGGACGTTCTAGGCCTTTAGCATAGTCACGTCTTTGAGCTCGACTTCCCGGACCTATCGTTATTTCAGGCAGGTTGTGCGCCAGCCAGCGCGTTTCAGCTAAACTTGAGCTACCCAGCCAAGGGATTTAGGCTAGGTGTTTGTTGTTTGTTGTAGGACTGGTTAGTAGTCATTAATTTCCTGCATATGTACATGCGGCTTCGATCAGGAATAACGAGCGAAAATCCACCACCATAGCCTAAACCCTTAAACACTAAACCTAAGCTCGTAAACCCTATGAACCCTTGAACCCCAAACCTAAACCCTAAACCCCGAAATCCCCAAGTCTCCCCGGCTTGAACACTAAAGGAGCCACCAGTCTTGGAAGCGTCGTAAGCTCACAACCCGCACGGGAAACCGCAAAGAGAGTCGTTGAGGGTTAAGTGGTTTAGGGTTTAGGGTTTGGGTTTAGGGGTTTAGGGTTTAGGGGTTAGGGTGTGTGTGTGTGTGTGTGTGTGTTAGGGTTTAAGGTTTAGGGTTGAAAGTTTAGTATGTTTAGGGTTTAGGGGTTGAGGGTTTAGTATGATTGGGGTTTGGGGCCGTTTAGGGTGTCGGGCTTTTTTACAACCGTTAGTACACTTAAGTATTTTCGTAGAGATCCTCATACAAGGACCCATGCAGAAGGGGCTTACTACCCAGGGGTGTGAGCCTATACACTTTTGTATATGCATATATATATATATACACACACATATAAATCACCATGATCTTGCAGGGATGGACACATTCTGTAAGGTGTGTACCGATAGCTATGTAAATATGTGTGTGTGTACATATATATATATATATACAGATACATGTATATACAGCTTTGACGGTGATTGAACGATATCCGGGTTCGAGATTTCGAGGTCACAAGGCTATCATGGTGTTCCAGAGGTTGTGAAAAACGTTAGCACCGTTGTATGGGAGCACCTCAAGTTTCAGCACATGAAGGTTAACGTAGTGGTGGCAGCTTTGCAGATTCCGTCAGCCTTTACGCTCCATGCTATTGAGGCTGCTTGGTTTCAAGAAAGGTCGTCCCAAACCCGGAGCCCTAAACCCTAAACAAAAGAAGACGGCGATCCCGTGGATAAGTTCGAGGTGCTCAGAACGGTTCATGGCGGTGAAGAATGCTACAGGTATCGACCTAGTCTGAAGACTGCGAGAGAAAAGGTCCAGTAACAAAAACAACTAAACAAACCGGGACTCTCCAAGTACCCTCAAATTGGGGGGTAAGGGATCCCCAATTAAGGGTATTTAGGGTCTAATACAGGGTAGATGGAGGGTCTAGGAACCGACCTACCCTAACTACAGGCCGAGTGACTCTACCTGCAGCAGGGGGCATAGGGAAACCTTCCGTCTGAAAAGCCTCACATCATTTCCCATGCCAAAGCCCCCTAAACCCCTAAACCCTAAACCCTAAACCCCTAAACCCTAAACCCCTAAACCCTAAACCCCTAAACCCCTAAATCCTAAACCCTAAACCCTAAACCCTCGACAGCCGAAGCCCCCAAGGATCCTAAAACACCTAAACCTCCACACCTAAATGACCTAAACCCTGAGATCGATCAGGGAGCTGGGCATCTTCCATGGCATCATCCAGAACATTCGGAACAACTTTCACGGCCAGCATCATGGTATTTTCAGTCACCTATTGAGCTTTTAGGGTTTAGGCTTGAGGGTTTAGGGTTTTGGGGCTGCTGGAGCATCATCAGGTGACATTTGGAAATGTGTACGGTGGGTGGCAGGTACAAGCATGCTTACACGCTTACAAACCACGACTTTCTAAATCCCAATTCCACTGCTTCTGATGCTAGGCGTTCTCAGCATAATTAGCCCACATGAAACCTGCATTTGTTCACGAGTCACCTAGGCAGTTTGTGGCAGTGTTCTCGCTGTTCCAGACATTAAGCCCAACAACCACCACACCCCGAATCTCCCCATGACCAAGTCCGGTGCTGGGTGTGTGAATAGACCATCGAGAGCATCCTCTTCCCGCACCATCGAGGATGTAAACCTGCTAGAATGCTGAACCCCAAACCCCAAACCCATGTAAACCTTCTAGAATGCTGATACTGTGGATCCGAAACTCGTATACACCTTAAACTTTATACCCTAATCGAAGGTTGCGGCCGGGTTTGAGTGCAATTGGAAAGTTTGCAAAGGAGACTTGAGTAGTATTGTCATAATAAGTATGTACTTAGTGGTATGGTTTCCCCAAATCTCCGGCCCTCAGGGTGAAAAGCGGCTTGATTTCAGGTATTCAGACTGGGCTTTGGAGCCCATCAAGAACTCGCTGTTTGCCCTTTCCTCCGGCAGTTGGACGAACCAGGATTGTCGGAAGGGAATGCCTTTAGTTCCGGGGCAATTACTGGCAGAGGATGCTACGGTTCGGGTACTTCAAGCTGGCAGCAGTTTGGTGCACTTGTTTTTGTGTGCGAAGCAGCTGTGTTGCAGGATTCAGTCTCTTTCGGTCGGTGGCATACTTGCGCGTGGTCTTGCAAGATGTGTGTTTGATGTCCTGCATTAGCTCAGCTGCTGCTATAAGCGTTTTACAATGTTGTTTGTGGGGGCTTGCAGGGTTTCTCAGGCTACATGTTGACCCTTCTTGTCCTCGCGAAATGTCTAGAGTTCTGTGCCGGCACAGAACCGGAAGCTTTTTCGGCAGCCATCGTTGTCGCTGGCTCATCTTGATGTTTTATGAGTGTGTTCTTAGGGCGGCGGTTGTAAACCTCTAGATACGAAACCCTCCCTGCAACTCGTTCGATGAGGACGTGGTTGTGGAAGAGGGGTTCATCCCTTTGGATGTCGCGTGCCTCGACCAAGGAATTCACAGACGGTCTTTCAATGGATTTGCTTTGGATTCAGCGCTGGGGGAGGGGGGTGTCGGTTAGAACCAGTTTCGGGGACATGAGTGCTGCAGCTGCATAGCCACGACTACGACGACCAGGCTCGATTGTTATTATTACGATTATCATTGCTGCTATAAATACTGTTACTGTTATTTCACCAAGTGCGGCCGACTGGACATGCGGTCGGAAGTGAGCAGACATGCGGCTTGAGTCGCAGTTCGAATTCGAAACAAGAGCAGGTGATCTAAAGCACCGGTGGAGTTGCAAACAACCGGTATCCAGCCGTAGGGCCGCAGGACAGGGTTTCAGCATGAGCATCAGTTGTGATACGACGCATGATTTCGAATCACAAGGGGTCTTGTTCTCTGTGACAATGCCATAAACAAGAGAGCGGAGTCTGCGCACTTAGCCCTGTTCCGTTGTTCAAGGCCCCTCTAACTCTATGAAAACCCGTACAGTGACCTTTTTATTAAACTTTTTGTCACAAGCCGAACAGAACCCCTTAACGATCCCTCCATAACAACTTTCAACTTACTCCTATCATTCTTAAACTAGACCCTAGACCCCTGGACCCTAGCCCCTGCAACCCAACCGCCTCAACTGTCAGAGACAAAAACCGAGAGATCAAAGCAGGACTTCAATGTAGTATAGTATAATCTAGAAAAGTATAGTCTAGTATAGTATAGTATATTATAGTACAGTATAGTATAATATAGTATCGTATAAGATAATAGTAGGCCCTCAGTAGTACCCTTTTGTCCTTCCTTTTGGGGATTCCCTTGTTATTGAACCCAAAGAGAGTAGGAAAACGCGTACCCTTATCATGAAGGGGCTACTGCGGAATCTGGACTTTTTGAGGTGGTGCAGGAAAGTTTGGGCTAAGGGTTTAGGGTCGTTTAGGGTTCAGGGTTCAGTTCTCATACAGAGGTTTTGGCATGATTTGAGATAGGAATTTCTGCAGTATCCATTATTTGCTGCTCCTACTCGATTTGGTGGCGAATGCAGACATCATGCTGAGACATGCTAGGTATTTCGGACCTTGCAATATCTCAGGCTGGTCTTGGAGCACGGTGCTGATGCCAAAATTGCAGAAGAGTCTTTGCAGGTGGTCAAGGCCCTTACGCACCTCGGATGATTGGATAGCTGTCCATGGCTACCCTAACCCAAAACCTTTATTGCTCTTCACAAGATTCCCTCGCAGCCCTGAGCCCTTACCCCAAGCCCGGAATCCTAAACCCTGAATCCTAAACCATAAACCTTAAACCCCAAACCCCTAAACCCTAAACCCTGAACCCTAAACCCTAAACCCTAAACTCTGAACCCTGAACCCTAAACCCTAAACCCTGAATCCTAGACCAGGTGCCTCAAAGGGAGCTCTGCGAAGCCAAAGCGTGCAGTTCGTCATCCGTGCGCAACATCTATGTTCATGTTTACCAATGAGGCCCCATAGGAGGGTTTCGGGTTTAGGGGTTTAGGGTTTAGGGTTTGGGGTTGTAGTTCCTTTTTTGGGCTTACGTAATAGGATCCTAAATACAAGCCACAAAAAGGAACTACCATTGGGCCTATGGGTAAGCCTAAAGGACCAAATGGCCCTGAAATTAGGGCCCCCCTAAACCCTTACAAACCATGAACCTCTACATGGAGTATTGTGTGCTTTCGTCGGGATACTCGGTGACCCTATACTGTTCATTAATGACAGTATCTACCTGTTGGAATGTCACGCATGGTTCTTCAGCCAGCCTCTGAAGGCATTGGGTGCCTCTGCCTGCTCCGGGACAAAAATCACTGAAGCCTAAACCCTAAAAGCTTTACCTTCCTCAGGTTTTACTCAGACGAGTTCCGGCACAAAGTGTCGGATGCCGGCATGTTCAAGGCAATGGCGCAGGCCGTGGTCAGTGGATCCAAAGATATGGGCCTTAAGAAACAGAACCAGGTTTCTGTAAAGGTTCTTTTTTGACCGGTTCTTTTTCGACCGGTTCTGCCTGGGCTACTTTGAGGGTTAGTCTATGGGCGCTAGTCATCGAAATAGGACTCGGGGCTTGCCCTAAACCCTAACCCAAAACCCCATAACTTATTGTAGCAGAACTAAATACAGGAGCCGTCGGAGACTCCAAAATCCCGGTACCTGCAGCTGCAGCCGAGCCGTGAAGACGTTATTCTGACTTAAAGCATAAGGGATGTTGAACCCAAGGCGAATCCAAAACCCTAACTAAACCCCAAACCCCGAGCCCTAACATGCCTTGCGAGTAGCCTTTGAGCCCCGTCCGGGGCCACGGCCTGTTATAACTCCTTCTCTTGTGCACAATGAAGCCCTGGCCCTACATTTCAAGAGAAACGGCCCTAAAGCCTAAACCCTAAACCCAAAAACCCAAAACTTTGAGCTCTAAACCTTATCCCCTAAAGCCCTAAACCCTATAAAACCTAAACCCCTAAACCCCTAACCCCTTCCCCCTAACATTAACCCCCCCTAACATAAACACATCCAGGCCCCAGGATTTCGCGGTTTCTGGCCCACAGTTGAAGCTCGGTGCTTTGGGCTTTACGGTTTAGGCCTCAGGGCTCGGGGTTTAGGGTTTAGGGGTCTAGGATTTATGGGTTTAGGGTTCAGGGTTTAGGGTTGAGGGCTTAGGGTTTAGGGGCGTCTAATTGCTTACTTGTCTGATTTTCTGGTTCATGAATTAAATTAAATATTACTGACAACCCCACTCATACCCGGAAGTGCCCAACCCCCCTAATACAAACAACAAACCCCCGGATTCCAGTTTTATATTCGAGGGGGGGGCTTTTAACATTAGGGGGAAAGGATGAACCCAACACCCCAAAAACCTAAAACCCTAAACCCCCTAAACCCAAAGCCCCAAAACCCTAAACCCCTAAGTGCCCTAAACCCATAAACCCTAAAACCCTAAACCCCCTAAGCCCCCTAAACCCTTAAACCCTAAAGCTCTAAACCCATAAACCCTTAAACCCTAAGCCCCCTAAACCCTTAAGCCCTAACGCTCTAAAGCCTCTAAGCCCCCTGAACGCTTAAGCCCTAAAGCTCTAAACCCCCTAAGCCCCCTAAACCCTTAAGCCCTAAAGCCCTAAAGCCTCAACCTTAAACCCTAGACCCGAAACCCTGAACCCTCAAACCCTCAACCCTAAACCCTAAACTCTAGACCCTCAAACCCTCAAATTCTAAGCCCCTTAAGCCCTAGAAGGGTCGACCCGTCTGCCAGGTCCTGGCCTCCCGAAGCTTCGATCGGGGAGCGGTGAGCCTGGTCTGCGAGACCCTTCCTTTCCTGGTGGGGCCAGCCTTTCAGGCTGCCCCTTTATAGGATTTAGGGCTTTGGGGGTGTAGGGTCTAAGGGTTTAGAGGAATTTCATTACATCGACCAAGAAGCTTAAACCCCAAACCCTAAAGCCCCAACCTGACGCAGATAGCTGAGGGAAAAGAGGGTTCAACAAATAAAAGCCCCAACCCTAAATGGGTTTTGGTATACAGAAGTCACGGCGGTCGATCTGTAGACCTTTTGCTCGCGTCCCAGCCGGTTCAATGTGAAGGCTCTAAACCTTGCACCCTGAACCGGTTTAGGGATTAGGGATGTTATGCTACCCTGCTCCCGAAAGGATTGTCTGTTCCCACTTTTTTAGCGTAATCGCTCTGCACACAGGTGCTTGCTTCAAAACGACGTCCCACCAGTCGCCATTAACAGACCCGTCCTCCTAGTAATTCCTGTATGTGCTCCGAGCGTCGTCCTCCGCTTCCCCACGGCCTGGGATTCAATTCATTCGGTTCCATGCCACACCATGCTGCCTGTTTACCCTGGACCCTACATGCCAAACAAGGGTTCCTGAAGACTGTGAGAGGTTTCGACTTATCCGGAAACGGTGCGACAGATCCCCTTCGATGCTGACATCCAGGTGCCCTTGCCTTTGCAACAAGCAGCAGAAAAAGTACAAAAACACAGGACTTGGAAGGCTAAGTGACGAAGTTTCTGCAATTCGTATTACACGATTTAGGTTCTGCTGTTGACTCTACTGCCGGGGAAAGAGCGGACAAAGAGGTTTGTAGTCACAAAGGCTGCGATGGCGAAGAACAACATCAGAAGCACAAGGATATTTGCGACAAAGGGCATAATAGCAATGCTGTATCTACAAATGTTTGATGTGTTTGTCGATGATGGTTTCTTACGGCAGATCGGGCCCAATGAAGCTTTGCTGCGCAGACACCGTCATACCGTTCTCTACGTTCAGAACTTGAAGTGCTATGTTGACTGCCGCAGTGGCTACGGCTGAAGTCCTCGTCGAAGTTTCTCGGGTGCGGGCGGACCATTCACGATCCCCGGTACATCCTGGGGTTGTAAACTAAATACGGGATGCTTTCAGGGCTTGGTAGAAATGGGTCAAGGTCGATCGTGATTGCGTCCTATACTTGAGTGGGAGTACGTTATAAGCAATAGTAGATAGTATTAGTAAGTTTTTCTTAGTCCCTATAGAGAACTATTTGCTAATCTAATTTATTCATCAATGTCCCTCCATACAAGCACCATGATCCTCCAACTACCGTAGCTCACTTCCTCCACAGCTTCTTCACCTCCCGAACTCGTCTCCGCGCCTTAGGCCGTAGGTCCGAAGCTTCACACAAGTTCATGCCCCTACCTCAACAGTAGTTTTTTGGGTAGTTCCCTAATTCGGGTCCCCTTTGTGGGTCCCCAATATAGTACGGCACCCTTATAAAAAGGACCCCAAAAAGGGACCCTAATTTAGAGAACTACCCATATGTCTTCGTTTTCATTTCTGTAGGAACATGGATGGTAGCAGAAACGAGGATGGCGATACTGAAGAATGCAGCCATACCTTCAGACCCCTTCATCCCAGTCTCGCCCCTCCCAAAATCAGGAAGTCAACTTCAAAAAATGGCGTGATATTTTAGAGCCGCTCGCAAACATATTATCAAGATGATTCCTAGACTACTCCCCAGATCTTATAAACCCTATCAAGCCCTCAAGCCTTAGCCCCCAAGCCCCAATCCCCAAGGCACGTGCGGGCAAAGACGGCATGCTTGAGGCCCTCCTCGCAAGGGCCATGTCAGCTGAAGAGATGCAGCACTTCGAGCATGGTGGCTGCCTTTCCGAATCTTTAGGTGTTTAGGGTTTAGGGTTTAGTGGGCTGGCTGGTTTACCTACGAAGGTTCACCTTGAAAGCAGTTCATGTCTCCTCGTTTGCGAGTAGGATTTGGCAGAGGTTCCAAACTCTCTCAAGTGACAGGGGTGTAGATGAGAACCCTGTGTAATATAGGGGCCTAAATGATTACCTATACTACTTTGGGGTTCCTTATTATATTTCTAGTGTATTATACCCCCAACCCTGTTCTATTTCTTAAGGCCCCTATGTTAGTCTAGTTTCAGGGATACTGTTTGCTTAGCAGCTTCTGGAGCCTTCCTGTGGCTGTGCGACGTGAAGCAGCCGTCGGAAGTGCAGATTTCATGGCTGTCCTCGTAGGTGCGCCTTAGAAGGTGTAGGATTCAGGGCTTGGGGTTTGGGGTTTAGGGAAGGTGATCCTGGAGTATAGACGTATAGAGAGACTACACGCCCTTAGGGTTAGCAGGAGACGTATGCAGTGACTAAACCTACACTTTGCAGGCACAATACCACGCAACAACCTGTGCACCTAGCCAGATATGCCGCGAGCTCGAATCCATTGTTTGGCCGCCCACCAGCGTCACAGCAGCTTTGAACTAGAGTTTATGGGGTAATAATTAGAGTTGAATTTGAGGTTTAAGCCCTTCTTTACGGATTACTATAGGGGTTGCCAGCTACTGTAAGATGTGTTGACCCTTGCACTTTCAGGTTTCAACTTCAATGTCGATGCAGCTTACCCGGCGCAGCAGCACTGCTATCAAGCACTGCAGTCCATGGCACAGGACTCCACGATCGCGAAGCTGCAACTTCCTGTCCCTTCTAATTGCCCCTGCTCTTGCCCCGCCCTAAACCCGAAATCTTAAACCCATTTAAAGCTAAAGCCTAGACCCTAGCCTAAACCCCAGACCCAAATGGTAAATCTCTAAACCCCAAGCCCAGATCGTTAACCCCTAAACTCTCAAAAAAACTATTGAAATTATTAAGGCCCCTGTACTCGCGAATCAGTCTGCAGGGAGTTGCTATGTGAAACTCTCCCAAGCTGAGCTAGTCTTGTGTGTGCGTGCTGGTGGTGAGGAATGGCAGGTCGTACCAGTTTGGTATAGTTCTTCAATTGCCAACTCCGGCGGTATATTGATAAATCATTTGATCCTGAGGTGACACTGAGGTGTCTCGATGAACAGACACAACACGGCACTCTATTCAAATCACCGGGCATTGGGCCACAGGGCGGCGTCTTTAACCAGTGGGCAAACGGTGGAAACGGCTGATCCCGACCGCGTCGTACACAATACCAATCGGCCTATGTCACGAGTGCATGCTCAAACTTCCATGTTCTCGACTAAAGACGCTAAGTGCTAAACCTCTCACCACCCCTAATCCTAAAACCCTAGCCCCTAGTCCCTGAGGACAGCCCTGCCAACCAGCAGCAGATGGTTGAGGCCTGGTCATAAGTTACCCGCAGTCTCCATCGTAGTTCCTGTTTTTGGTGAGCAAAAGTTTTTGGTTAGGATCCTATCAGAGAAGCTGGTTAACCCAAGAAGGAACTACGTACAATGGACACTATAGGCAGGTTTGTTGATTACAGAGGCTAAGTTTTATGTCTCAAGCTTGAGTAGGGAGTTTAAGGTGTAGGGATCAGGGTTTTGGGCAGTCATCGTGTCTGCAACTTGTCTAGGAGTTTAGGGTTTGAAGTTTAGAGTTGTTTGCATGATTTCGCAGAGTTGTTTACGGAGTTTCGGGATTCGAGCTGAGGGATCTTTGAACTTTTGTCATGTCTCAGTTTTGCTTGGGATTTCAGGCGGTTGGGTTGGAGGGATTCTTGCATTTTCTGAATTACGATTTAGGGGGACCCCCCAAAGGGGGTATGGCAAATGGAGTTTGCTAGCAGAAGATGATGGTCGGAAAGCAAGGCCTGCCAAGCATTA